ATAGTTAGGAATCTCTGTCCATTAGAACTTTGTCTAGAAGATAAAATTTTGACCAGTTTATCTGGTCTGTTAGGGCGTTAGGAAGAAAAAAATAAGTATGTAAAGTACCATATTGTGCTTCCTGGCTCATTTCAAATTTTTAAACTTATATTGAGATAGAAGATTTTAGTTGTTTCCATTTTGAATTAAGTCTGTTTAAGAATTGATTTAATTGATACTGCATAGAGTCATAAAATGAGAGAGGTTTATGAGCTAGGTCCCTGAGCTAGTTGTCTGAACTACTTTACTCTTCTGGGGTGATGGACTGCTCAAAGGGTAGTTGTAAATGTTGTAGCTGCTTATTGAAATTGTAATTTGGTCCATCACTTTAAGCAAATACTCCCTCTGGAACTTAAGACCTATGTTTTGTTTTCTATTTTAGAGAAATTATGGGATTTTACTAAGCTTTTGTTTTTGAAAACAAGAAAAACCAAGATCACTTGCATTTAAATGCAATTATTTTGTCTAATTTGATCTTAATTTGTATAAATAACATATTTTGTCTTTATTCTGCAAAGAGTTGTCTAAACATGTTTGCTCTTAATTCTTTGGTACTTAAATCTGTGTTTTTCTGGACTCTTTGTTACTTTGTTTCTCTGTCCTTATCTGTGACTGACAATAATTTCTCCTTGTCAGATAATAGAGAATTTTAGTTTAAACATACCTTTATTATATAGGCTGATCTTGCAGCACGTCTAATGTAACATTATCATTGACAATAAAAAGGAGGAGGGTACTAAGAAGAAAGCAATGTAGTGGGACTTCCAGTGCCATTGATGTGCATAGCTTTGCTATTCAATTAAAGGACATAGAAGCATTTCTTTCTAATGTTGCTGTAATATTCAGATTGTCTTATTTTTTATTCTCTTACCTGTCCTGATATCCCAAGGTGGTGGCAGGGAGAGAGGAGTTGAGTAGCTTTTATGCTGACTGAAATGGACAAATAGCATCAGTGTGGAGATTTGCTCTTTGCTTATGATAACTTCAGAAGTACTGCATGCAGTATAAAATAATGAAACATTTATATGTTTTCAAATTTTTTTGTACATTTGGTATTTCTGGGCATCCTTCTCTGCTTGAAACAGTGTTTCACAAAGCCTGTTTCCTTTCCTTCCTCTGCCTTCATGCAGAAAGCTGTTAGAAAGATTATGCTGGCTGGTCCTAATTGTGTTAATTTCATTTAGAGCAAAATGCAGATATCACAAGTGCTCTAGGAACTTGCTTAGTCATAAAATGCTGAAACCAGTTGTCAATAAGGAATCTTATCATCATTTCAAATGTTCAAATGAAAACCATTGAAACCGGGTGCAATTTCTTTTATCTGTGATTCACTGTATTATTTTAGCTTAGGATAAATCTGCATAAGGATTTTCAGGCAATAACAAGAGATTATAGCAAATCTCCAAAGCAGAGCCCGAGTATGTTGTTGGTTTGTTGCACAACCGTGTGCTTTAGAAAAAAATTGAATGAGTTCTGGGAGAGGGGTGGCTGGAATCTTGCACCACCTACATTTACTTTGAAGATGTTAAAAGTGGAGGTGTTTTTGACTCTTCTTTTAGAGGCTGGGGGCGTTCTATTTTTTATTATATATTTTCTACATCATCTGAACCATGTTAATAGCTCTTGCAATGTCCTGAAAAGGCAGGCAAAAGGAATTTTGTTTAACTTTTCCTCTCCCTCCCCCTTGCATCTGCGTTAAAAGGCAGAAAAAGTATTTTCAGTTAAGGATTCAGTTCAGATCGTGACTGTTTTATCTCTTTGCACTGAAGTCCGGTGTTGCAGAAGATATTTATAGCTCCTTCAATTTATAAATATAAATTGAACATACAAAAGTGTGAGAGTTATTTCTAGGTAAGGTTAGTAATTAAGCACAAGCCTGTAAATGGAGTATTTAACCCCTTGGGCAATAGCAGTAATCTTTCTTGGATAGAAGGGATCACAAATACATGTATGTTGACTTTTTTAATCTAGATTATAGGCAGCACTCATGTGGGTATTACTGGAAGACCCTCCTGTTTCCACACAATATGCTGTTTTGTTGCCAGTCTTCATCTCAGTGTCAAAAATGAGAGTTATGTTCACTATGGCTGAACCATAATGTAGATTAATGTTCTAGTTGAAAAGCTGAATGTAATGGTATATAGAAGTCCCAGAGAATAGTGAGCATTAAGTATTGTAGGCTGTTGCCCAGCAGCACGGATTCAACAAGAGTGATCTAAGAGTCCTCTTACAGTAAAGCTTTTTCCTTTATTGCATGTGATGTCCTTCATGTACCCAAGTACCTCTCTATTCCTCCGCATTTCACATCCAGGAAGTGATTTCATTTTACCTCTAAGTACTCTTAAGAGATAAACCTGACACACTGGTTTGTGTTAATCTTTGTTTCACAGAGCTTAAGCTATACTGCTGTGCTGTTTCTGATCCATAGGCAGCTGAAAATCTCCTCAGTGTCGTATTCCCGCAGTTCTCTGCTGTGCTGGAAGCCATACCAACATCTGTTCTGTAGTTGTGTTTTGTCCTTGAGGAGACTGCACCTGATGGTGAACTGAAATAGCTGTTAGGCTGGAGCTCTTCCCCAGCTGCCCTTGGTGAATGGTATATCACAATATAGCTGTTTCTGAACATTTCAGAAGCTCCTCCAAGACTGTCAGCTTCAGTGAGAACTTAATGGTCAAGTTTCATCGAAGATAACAATGATACTGCTTCCTGTTGCAACACTACTGAGAGAACAAAATTGTGCTTTCAGGATTAAGTATGAATTATAAATACAAAGATTTGAGGGATGCTATATAAAAGAGATTAATTCTGTATGTATTGTTAAGGGCAGCAGCTCTATTTAAAAGTATATTTTGCATCTCTATTAAATATTGTCCCTGCTCAATAAACCTTTTGAGTATGTGTTGGAATCTGAAGCATGTACTTTACTGCTTTGCTGAATTGGGGCCTTCATTACCAAATTGCAGGTGTATGTTAGCTGAAGTATTTAAGGAAAAAAACAAACTGTAAAGCAATGCTTACTTTGTTGTGTTTGGTGTATTATGTAAATGGAAAACATCAGAAATTCTGTGTTGTTGCTATGCTGTCCCAAACAGATTTAATATAATTAATGGCATGAATGTTCTGTATGAGATATCATCTAGTTAAAGAATTAACACGCAGTGATGAAATAAAAATCCAAAAATTGAAAGTGAGATTCTATTTTAGGGTGCATACTATTATAGCAGAATGTGGCTTTCAAATGTCTTCCTGTTTAAAAGCACATTTCAATTACATTTTAAAAAAATTCTTATGTAGATATTAGAGTATTTATTATACATGCACAATAACTGGGGCTCTGAAAAATTACCATAATAAACCGTTCTGTATATGAGGGTTTCATAACATTGTCATAAAAGTGTGTTTTACACATAAAAGTGGTGTACTGGTCTGCCAGAAAGCTTGTGCTTTAAAAATAAATAACATTATTTAGAGAGCAATTAAGAAGGAAATGCAAGAAAAAGTGGGCTGTGCCTAGGTCATTCCTGATAAATATTTGATCAATATGTTCTTTTAATAAATAAATAACCCCCCACTTAGCTAGAAAAACTAGTTCAGTGCTGAGTTAATCTAGTACTCTTCAAGCCTGAACTTTCACTTTATGTCTGTTGATACATAAATGTTCATACATATTATGAAGATGTGCTTTCCATGCAAAAAGTAAACCTGCACTGTGTAAAATACATCAGTGTCACAGGGGTTTTGTTTTGTGGTGCTACCTGTGAAGCTTCCAGAGCTCAAGACACCTTTGGCACAGGGAAATCCTTTGTTATGTGTCACAAATATGGGCCTGTGCCATGCTGTAGGAATTGTACATCTTTTCTTCTTCACCACCGACATAAAATTATCTATAGCTATGTTGTGCTAAATGAGATCACCAGATCATTGAGAGACATTCTTTTATTTAAAATACTGGATTCTGATGTGAAATAGGAGAGAAGATACATTCTGATTTACTAGAAATCCTATGAAATCTTGGAGGTTTCTATGGAGATGCTGAGAAGTACTTGCTGCTCTTACCAATGCATCTTCTGACCAAGGCAAAAGTGGCAAGTCTAGATTCAGTTGGCCCATGTGTCTTGTAACTCTGAGATTCTTTAGGACAAGTTTGAAATGATACAAGGGCTTTTTTTCACCTCTACACATACATGTACATTAATATTATTTACAAATAACCAACACATTTGTGCTGTGGTCTGGAGTAACAATATTTAAATTTGGTAGAAAGTTTCGGTTTTTATTAAATGATGGTTTTAAATCAGTTGGGTTTGTGACATTTTACATTAAAGTTAAAAATTAAAATTGTGTGTTGTGAGAAACATATTTAGGAGCTATGAGTCTTCATATTTTCATTCAAGAGTTGACCTTGAGTGGATTCATAGGTGAGAGTATAGATATCTGCAGATTTCTTCTTGTCTTTGCTGGTTGTAAGCTGAAATCTCCCAGTGATATTTTGTGTAGCAAGGTGTGTGAAATCAAATGAGGAATATAGGCTCTTGAAAATAAGAGGAACAACATAGCTAAAAAATGCCAAATAATGTAAGCAACATTTGCATATTCATTTTTAGCTATTGTAAATTAAGGCTTAATTTCCATGGTAAATGAATCTGAACAAAGTTGTGGGAGTTCTCATTTCGTCAATGTCTTTTCCTTACATTTTAGCTGTGTTATCAAGAAGTAGAAAGGAATTAACTTCTAGTAATGAAGTACCTCAATGAAATCTGAAAAAATTAACTTTTCCTTTTTTCCCTTTTATTACTTATTTTTCATTCCTTGCTTAGTACCCTTAAAAAACACTGAAGATTTTGTATGTGTTTGACATTTAACCTGTTTGTATTTACCAGGCTTGAACTGTTGCCATTGTGCTGTTCCATAAACATTGGAAGGCTAAGCAAGTTACTTGTATTTTTCTGTTGTCTTCCAAGGGACGTCAGAGATGGCTTCAGAAGGAAAAGCTTCCATTCTTCTCATTATACAAGAGATCGATCCCCTCACAAGAGGGACTCTCCTTTCTTCAGGGAATCGCCCGGGAGCCGGAGGGATTCTCCGCACAGCAGATCTGGCTCTAGTGTCAGCAGCAGGAGCTACTCTCCTGAAAGAAGCAAGGCCTATCCTTTCCACCAGCATAGCAGAAATATGTCGTCTTTACATAAAAGAAATGTTTCTTCTCAGCAAGGTAATACTGGGTTAATGATGGGAACTGGTTAGTGAGGTGAAACTGCAACTCACTGTATAAGCCTTTTTTCCATACATGTTCTTTTTAAAATGGGAAAAGCTGACATTTTGTACTATGTACTGTCTGCTCTGGTTATTTCTTTGTACTCTCTGTTCCCTTATGTATTTCATGTGGGAGATTGTAGGTGTTATTTTGGTATCAGGTCTAGACTGACTGTAGGAGTTTCAGCTGCACAGCTTCTTCTAGTATTTTATATTCTTTTTAGCATCAGCTCCTGTTACTTCTTTATGTGCTTCACTGGATTTCCTGACAAGAAACTTTGCTTCGTCTACAGCAGCTGAAGACATTTCTTCATGCAAACAGAATAAAACAAAGATTAAAAACAAATGGAGAAATGAAAGTACATATGTCTATTTGTTTCATTGTCTCTAAATTTTACTAGGCTTTTGAAACTGATTGTTTTTGGTAATTATATTTCAATGTCAAAACCTCTCAGATCTTGCTCTCCTCAAAGAAATGTGAAGCATATCTCAATTGAGTCTTTTCTGTCTTTTAAAAGTTTGGCTCTTAATGTTTCCCAGAAGTCTAATGAATAATCTGTTTTGAAAATACTGAGATTTCATATTTAAATGATTTGGGAAAAAAAAAAATTCCTTTTTTAGTATACTATGATCTTAAGCCACTCTGTTTGTACAGCTTATGTAAATTAATCCACTTTGATCTCCCTTTCTGCAAATGCTTTTTAGTGAGCTATGCAAACCTACTGTTCATTTTGGCAGCTTTTTAAAAATTAATTAGATTTTTTTTCACTCACTGAGAAGGCACATTGTGTTTCCAGAGTGACACTGAATCATTATGTGGCACTTCTTGTCAAAAAAGATCATTGTAGTTTTGTTAACATTGTTTAAATATTGAGGAATAATTTCACTCCTTGCAGAGTGGAATGGTCTTTCTATTTGAGCATTAGAGTGCTTTCAAGGTTTTGTAACAATACTTAGTGAACATAAATTTCTCTAAGTGTAGGAGAGGAAGAAAAAAAGATAGCTAACTAATTTTCTAGAAGTCTTGTAGGTGTGCAGATTGTAATTACTAGGGACAGGAAAACAATTTTGTGAAAAATGATACAAAATTTTAGATTTTTTTTTTTATTTGAGCTGACTTTGATTATATATGTATATACTATATGATTAGAATTTCTCAGACAATAGTGGAGGTAGTGATGTAGAAGCAGATATATTCACAAACCAGAAAAGATGCTGATCAAGAGAGGAGCTTACATATAGGTCTGTGGTTTTTGATATTTTCTCCCATTTGCATGGTTAAATACCTTTCCCAAACACCTTTAGATAAGTTTCAAGAGAGCAGCTGAGTTGTACAATGAATGATTTCTTATTTCCTTTCCTTGGAAAGGAGAACTACTAAAATGTTTCTCTAGATGACTGAATTAAAACACCTATTTGCAAGGAATAAATGGTTTAAAGAATACTTTTTAGAATAATTTTTGAATGTGAATTGCCTTAGGTAAGCTCATGGATTGCATATTTAAAAGGAACATCAAGCAGGACAGCTCATATATGTCAGCAATACATTTAAATGGATTTGCAACATGCAAAGGATGTACTATTTCACGTGGAATTTGCAATATGGCATCTTTCTAAAATACTATAATGTTGTTTGAAATAATGCTGTCTGAATAAATTTGGCCACGTGACTTCCAGTAAAGAAAGAATATCCCATGCTCTACAGACTTTCATACATTAGGATAAATACAGAATTTAAACAAAGGAAACTGTGAGGATATGAAGAAGCTTGGTGAAGGGAGGGAAATGGCTAATGGAATGGGCAAGCATTCACCTGTGCTGGGAGTGCATGGAGAGGGGCAGGATGGTGTGTTTAATGTTACAGGTACGTCCTTGGGGCTCAAAATAGCTGCACACATTCTGAAAAAAAAGCCTAATAATGTCTTCTAATTAAGTGGTCTTTTTTTCACTTTGTTTAACTTTGAATAGCTTTCTGCCATTTGTATCAATTCATTTCATCTGTTCAGATGCAAACATAATCCATTCAACTGAGATAGTTTTTAAGGAATCGAGCCTGACAAAGGAGGCATGTGGGAGGCAGAATTAGAGTAGTCCATGAATTTAAAAGGAGGTGGCTTGTCTATGGGGCTCAAAAGCAGGTATCACAGAAGCAAAACTTGTGTTACTTAGTGGTGACAAGGGAGATGTTCTGTGCTTTGTTGCTTTGACTCATTAAGTTAAAGCCATATTTAAAGCCATAATAAACAATCATATTTATAGTTCTACAAAAATAATTTCTTTGATAGTTTACTCTTTGATAGATTTTTTAAAATTAATCCCTTTATTAATTGTATTTATAAAAAAGTTAACAGAAGCCAAGGTAAGCTTACGTTACCTTGGCTTTTTTGTGATCAGTCAGCCGTTTCCCAGTCAGTGTGAATAGTCTGGTTAATTTAGGCTTACTGACAGCATGTTTGCTTTTTGTACTTACCTTTTGCAGATCTCTTAGATATAATCTGTGGAGCACAACTTGAAAACTAGTAGTTTACACTGCAGCCAGTTCTATTGCTGTGGGCTGCCTGTAACTGGTCTGTGGCAAAACTATGCACAGACTGTGATTAGCACTGTGAATTTGGTTTGACATTTTGCCAATTTTAACTTTTATAAGAAAGACAGTGATCTTAAAAGAAGCATCTACTCCCGTGGTTGGTACAATACAGGACTGTTTCCCATGGCAGGTCTTTTCAACATTCTGTGGCCTGCTAAACTAGTTCATGCACTACCTGGTTACCTCGAGTGATTGACTGATGTCTAATATTTCAACTGTTTCTATTGTTACAGTAATATTAAAAAGTGAAATGACATCATGTGGAATCATACTGATACACCCTTTCAGTTAATGATGGAAAAAGGGACAGTGGGTTTTCTTAAATGCATGAAATGACACAGCTGTATTTTTCTCTCCTTAGGAAGAGAAAAAGGTATTACCAGTATCTATCAGATGATGGCATATGTAGATTTTATAGAATCATTAAGGTTGGAAAAGACCTCCAAGATTCAGTCCAACCTTTGACCTAACACCACCCTGTCAACTAGACCATGGTACTAAATGCCATGTCCTGTTGATTCTTGTACACCTCCAGGGATAGTGGCTCCACCACCTCCTTGAACAGCTGTTCAAAGCTTAGCCACTCTTTCAGTGAAAAGATTCTTCCTGGTGTCCAGCCTAAGCCTTCCCTGGCACAGCTTGAGCCCATTTCCTCGTGTCAGTTGTTGCCTGGGAGAAGAGTTCAGTTCCCTTTTTTGCTACCCCCTCTCAGGTAGTTGTTGAGGGTGATAAGGTTCATGTCTGATGTGAGAAAATTTCACTGCAATTTTTTTATGCCAGCAAGCATATTTGCAATATATATCTTTCATTTCTCAGTCATTAATGCTTTTCTTAATTGTAGGTAAAGAGAGGACAGTTCAGTCACTGAAAACATCAAGAGATGCATCACCTTCAGGGTCCACAGCGGCACCTTCATCAAAGGTGAATTTTCTTTTTGAGCACTTCACACTGTGGTTTTAGATTGTTCATTGTTGGATTTTTTCCTTAGTTGGAAGGAGATACTGCATACACCTGTTAAAGTGTGTATTCCTTACAATAGGAATAGGACTTGGTCTTAGAATTCTGTGTCCTTGTGTGTATGTTAATATTACCACTCATTTTGACACAGACACACCTGCCATGTATTCAATGGGGAAAAAACCCAGGCTTTGGTTGTGCTATGTCATTCTAAGTGCTTATCTCTTACACATCTCTTTTAGAACTGCTGTGCCAGCTGATTGCCATTGTCCTTAAGGGGGGAGGCAAGTTATGTATTTTCAGTGATGTAAATAGAGAAAATGAGATAAAAGCTATTATGCACAAGTTACATTGATTTGGATCATAACATATACTTTATAATTAGTTCACTTGTTTTGTTTATAGACTCAGCACACTGCAGCTTAGTATCAAATCCTTACTTAATACACACCTTTAAGAATAAGGAGGCATTGCAAAATCTCTGCCTCTTGTTTGAGCTTGAAGTCCGTGTTCTATAAGTGTTCTGCTTTCTTCTTCAGTCAGGTCTGATCAACCTGTATTGGTTTTTTGCCACCAGTTTGCAATATCTGCTGGCGGTGGATATCCACTTGATATCTACATAGATAGGCCACATAGAATGAAACTTTGTTTGATGGAAGTTGTTTCCCCAGACAGCATAAGTATTTATTGGGTATGCATCAGCTGCGGAAGTGACTGTTCCATGACTGTTTATAGACATTTCTCTTCAGTCCCCAAATCTGCTTATAATGTAACTGCCCTGTGTCAGTGCAGCCTTTTGGAATCAGCCTCTTGGCACTGAACAGTTAAGTTGCCTAAGTTCTTCACTGACTCAGAAGTAGTGACAGAAGCAGTCTTGGCAAAACATGAACATCTCCAGAGCCAGAGTCTTACAACTTATCAAGGCATGAGAAATTAGTTATATGCTATATATTAGTGATTAAAGGAGATAGTTTTCAATGCTCTAAGTTATAATTTAGCTTTGAAATTCTTACAAAGGTATATATTTCCATAGCAATACCTCTTTTCACTGTAATATCTATTTGCAAATCTAAAAAGATATTTTTATCTGTAATTATTTTTTGCATATTCATGCATGTGAATTAATACCTGTTGATGTTACCTGATCTTAGCCACTTGTTTGACTATGGTATGAAATCTTTTGTGTTTTTCTTTATTAGCTCTATGGACTGTAAGCCTTGGAGGCTGTTTCCAACATAGAGCAGAAGGTGGATGTGTGAGACAGGGACAGCTGCTGAGCAAAGTGACAGGCTTTTGCTTTTCTGTTATTGATGAGATTAAAAAAATACAAAAAAAGAGAGGCTTCTGTTTTTTTGAGGGCGAGGGGGAAGCAGTTTATTTTTTCTTGTAAGATCTATTAGGTTGGTTGTTTCTTGCAAGTTTTCAGCCTAAGTAGCTGCTGCTATTTTCAGCTGAGAAATACCTTGTTCTGTCACTTCAGCTGAAGTGTACCTGTGCAAATACCATTATTTTATTCCATAGAATTCACTCAGGATTTAATACATATTTATCAACATTCAACCTTTAGAATTAAATTTAGTGAGATTAAATGAAACAGATTTTTTTTTTTTTTGTATTCTGAAAGATATTAGTTACTTTCTTTTATGGCTTGTTGAAATATAGCAGGCTATGTGAGATTTTCTATTAATTATGTTACTCCTTTCTTTTAAGAGCCCTCTTCATATCCCTGCATATTGAACTTTTTTACCTCCTGATTTCACTGGTTGTAATTCTGTAATTTGCAGTTCTAGAAAACAAGGATTCCTATTAGAACATTGTGTTGCAATTCTCTTTTGGATTCAGATATAGGTGGTGTCTTTATGACACAGAATGCTGTGGAAGGGTTCTGTGAATTGTGTATTTATGCTATACTACAGTACAGGGGTATTTAGATAATGCTTTGCTTGAGGTAAGAACAAAAGATGTAAGGACAGAGGACTTATGTAACTTAGACTGAACTAATGGTGAGAGGTGGTTTCTTTCATTTGGGTTTTTTGTTTGTTTGCTTTTTTTGATCTGTGTATTTGCTAAGATGGAACAGCCATTGGGTAGAAATTGTTACAGCCTTTTTCAGGTAGTAGAATTTTTGTATCTCTTCTTCAGATACTCATCTTAGTGTTATAATTTTAAATGCTAGAGTGATATAGATTCTTTGGGTGCTTCTATACATATAGTTTATTTAAACTAAATATCCACATAGTGGTAACAGGATTTATAATGCTAGCTATTCCCAAACTGATATTTGTCATTGTCTGTTTGCTGCTCTGATAGTAAAAGGGAACTAGTATTCTTAGAGAGAAATCAATTTTTAAACATTATTTATGTGAGAATTTCAATTTGAAAAAGTAGATTTAAAAGAATGTAAAGCCATGACTGACTCTATTATAAATGATTAGCATTCCCACAAATAAAAAAGAGTGGATTTTAATGGAACCAGCTCTGATCACCTAAAGTTTGGATAATGTTTTTTTGTCCCAATTTAGCTCAGATTTTATACCTTACCTCATATTTAACAGTTTATTTAAAATTTTTTTACAACCCTTTATGCCTGAAAATCACATAGTTCACTCCACTCTTGTATCTGACTTCTTTCAGTGCCCATCAGGTCTCGGAAAATGTTTCTGTTATCTCTGACCTGTGAATTTAATAAACCTTATTGGGAAAGTATAGTGGTTTTGTAGCAGTCCACTGACCTTCATTGATTTAATCTTTTTTTCTCCTCTCTTGTTTCTGTATTATCTTATATCTCCCCACTCACTTTCTCTTTTCTTTTTAAATTTGACAGCAAATGAAATAATTTCAACTTTTTTATTTCCTATTTTAAAATATTTTAGGGATTGGAATAACTGTTTATTTTAATTTTGAAGATTTTTGCCATATGTTTCATGTTCAACATTGACTATAATGTTTTTGTACAGGCCTTGGAGAAGAGCAACAGACTATCAGAAAAGGAACTTGCAGAAGCTGCAAGCAAGTGGGCAGCTGAAAAGTCAGAGAAGGCCGAGGAGAGCAATTTACCTGAAATAACAGAGTATGATGTAAGATAGGATTATTAATCCACTTATATCAAAGTGTTACAACAATAGGCTCTTGTTTTTCTGTACTCTTCATAAACATTTTGTAACTTAATATTGAATTTTTCTCCTATGCTATTAAATACTTGCTGAAGGGGAGTGAGAGGGAGACTAAAACCTTGCAATATATTTATTTTGAAGAAATACACAAAGCCACAGTATGTTTTGTTAGTATAATTTATACTATATTTATATAAATATATACTATAATTTTATAATTGATGTTGAGCTGCAACTGGCAAAATAAAGTTTCAGCTCTCCCAAGTGTTCTGCAAGGAGCTCTTGTAGTAGTGTAGGTCTGTATGCCTACTGAACTCCTTAAAATTAGGAGAGGACTTCCAAGTCAAAACATGAGTGTACATGTGAAACATAAGGCTTAAGGAGAGAAGCTCTGGTTTGTTGAGTTCTGTTTCAAGCTGTGCCAGCTTACCTTGTTGCTGCAGTGGGTATATTTTTTATATTCCACAGAATCCTTATTTCATTATTAATCAATGTTAATTATTTGCCAGTTTATTCCCTTTTGTTTTCACCCCTTCTTGCTTTCCACTCCTGGCCATATTGAAGTGACATTATAGCCCTTCTCAATCATTTGTTCTACTGCTCTTGGATAAGATGTCTTTTTTGGGTTTTGCTATGTTAGTGGAAAATGTATTTCACACAATTGAGGCTGTGTCACAGTTTTATCATGTCATGTTTTCTACATGTTTAAAATCTGTACTTCTGTATCTGTTAAGATTGTAGCAATAATACTTAAGTAGTAGTCTTGATGAGCAAACTCGTATCTCTGATGACTGTGTTTGGGCTTTTGGGCTCACACTGCAATTGTTATTTTTCTCCAAAAGCTGAATTTATTGTTGGTTTGTTTTTTTTTTTAAGGCTGGATCTTCAGCTCCATTATACATTGAGCAAACAGAGGAAATAGAGGCAAATCTAACAGACAGCATGGAATTATATGAGGACAGCCAGCTTCTGGGTCGTTCAAAAGCAATTGCAGCTAAGACAAAGGAGATTGAACAGGTGAGTCCTCTTGGCATTTTGTCACTAATACAGTAATGGTTTGCTCTGCTAAAATTACCTTGATTTATTTTTTCCTCCTCCTTAGAGTGTAATATGAATATAATTTGATTTTTCAAGATGATATGGTATCATCTCCAACAGTTTAATCCCGAAGAACCATGGCATTTATCTGCACATGGAAATTAATCAGTTTTCTACAGCTTACAACTGCTGTTGTGCAAGCTAAGACAATGACTGCCTCTTAATTCTAGTGGCCTTTGTTCAGTTGCCTGTGAAGCATTTCCTGAGCTGCAACACTATTCCTTTATATTGACACTTGAAAACCAGCTATTTACTCTATTGGTTTTGGTTTTTGGTTTGGTTTTTTTGTTTGTTTGTTTGTTTGTTTTTTGTTTTGGTTTGGTTTGGTTTCTTTTCCTTCTCTTAATATTAACTTTCCCTAATCATGTTCATGGTGGACACAGCTTTCCATATTAGTGGGGTCTGGCTGGGATGGAATTTTACCAGAATGTGCTGTAGCTATGAGAGCCATGGTGCAGTTGGTTTATCCCTGTGTCTGATCACAGGGTCACAAATGGCCTAAAAGAGCTAGGACCAGATGCATAAACTTAGGACTTTTAAAAAAAGAAAAAACGAAAAAAAAAAAAAAACCCAAGAAAAAAATTTTTTAAAAATAGCTATTGTAATTAATTAGTCTCATGCTGGTGAATCTATGGTTAAATTTTTCTAGACCCTAAAGACAGGGTTGTAGTGAAAATGGATGAAAATTAGGTCATAAAACCCAAATATTGTTTTCCATATGATCTAATGTTACTGTGTTTGGTAGAGTTTGCACTTAATTTTAGAGATACCTAGATTATGTTCCATAAAATGAAATACTTTTAGGAACTTAGTTCAGAAAGGCCTGAGGAATAACTTAGGTTTAAATTTTGCACAACCAGTTTCTCCTGTTGTTGATTTGAATATTGAAGATGTCAGCTTCTGCAGAACTTAAATAAGATTCTAGAATGATGCTAGAAGTGTTTTACTGAACTGAACAAGATTGTTATTTTCTTATAAACCAGGTACTGTGAATTTGTTAAGAATTAGACAGGATATTTATTAATCATTAAAAATTAGGACTGGAAATTGATCTATGTATTTTTCAAATAAATAAATAGTTAATAAAAAATTAACTTCTGGATCATTAATTAAATTTTCTGGATTTTTAAAAAAATTGTTGTGACAAACCTTATGATTTTCATAATCATAATGAATATAATAAGTCATCATAATAAAATACTGTGAATCTTTCTATTATGTATAAAATCAGTCTGTAGTAATTTGTATGCTATTCTGTTTATTTTGAGTTCTCAGCATCTGAAAGTAAATTTAGCTTAACATTTAAATCTATAAAGGGAACTGTAAGCTTGTATATTTATAAGAAAGCTTTTTCATAGTTTATTTCTGATTGTTTGTTTTGAAGACTCAAATAATAGCAGAAAAATTATTTGTTTCCATGGACTTCTTTTCAGTTAAATTTAATTTAAGTGTTTAATGTAGTATTTCTGGAATGTAATTTTGTGTGAGGATTACTAAAATAAAATGCTTATTGCAAAGACTTATGCTGCAAGAATGGTGAAGCTGTAATCCTTCTGCAAAGTATGATTTTCAAGAGGCTGTTTTTCAGTATGCACTGAACAGCTATTAAGTTATTTAAAATAAGTAAGAAATGAAGTCAGGGCATGTGCCACTGGCTATGTGTTAAAGGATTGGTAAGGGCTCAGCTAATGTTTGAGAAAGTGAGGTTTGACCCATTGAACTACTTCTGCTTCTGTCTCCTAAATGTTTATTTCTCTCAGAGCACCAGATCTAATGATGTGTTATTTTGATTCATATTTATTCTCAACCTGATTGCCAAGTATTTCTTGTCTGTTCCAGACTCCTGATAAAGCATTCTTTGCTTTGCCCTCTCCATATCCATTTGTCTCCAAAGCTCTAACCTGGAAAATGAGCAAAATTTTCCAAATATCTACTTCATAGGATGGTACTATTTCCTCTGGGAAAACCCAGAGGCAAAAAACTGTGCTGATGGAACATGCATGGTGTTGCAATGAGCAAATCCATTGCTGTGCAGCAGAGAAACAGGCAGTCTGATGCCCTGGGCAGGAGGGAGGTGGCAGCTTGTGATATAGTCTGTTTTTTCTCTTAAGAAAAACAATCAAAAATATCCCTTGAGCAATTTAATGAAATATTCATACAGGTGTTCTGTTTTAAATTATTTCATCGCAGTAGCTTGCGTATCGCTCATATCACTCTTTTGTGAAGTTGCCTCTGCCTTTTCTCTAAGCTACAATAACACAATTGCCAGTTTCAGAATTTTAAATGAAGCGTGATTGTAAATGATCACCCTGGCTCATCAAAAAAATAGGAGTATATTATTTATTTGATGGGGGACTTACTGCAAACATTCATGTAAAATCATGTCATTTGAAGAAAAACTTAAATTCTTTGTGTGCTGATGATGACAGGGCAAAATGTGTCAAACCAAGGGCTAGTTGCTTTTTGCTAGATAGTGATTATCTTTTAGGAGTCTAAAAGATAGTCACTATATAGGAGTTTGCAATAGCTTTACAAATGTTAACTGAAGCTGACACAAAGAGAAGAAACTAGAAGTTCTGCTCATGGATAAAGGCTTGGAAAAATCCAGACACTGATTAAACAGAGCCAAGAATTATCTGCATTGCTCCCAAACTAGAAAAACCTTGAAGTGTATATTTCATTCGAAGTGTGCCAATATTACTTGGAAAGGAGGGATATGGTTACAGATGCACAGATGCTTGAAAACATTTCTGAACTGGGACTGCAGATCATGACAATTTTGTCTCATCTTTGAAACAGCAGGCATAGTAACATTCTTGTGGAAACACCTAGGTTGCATAGGACTTAGCGCAGCTGATCTCCTCAAAACAGGGCCTTAGATCAGGTCATTCAGGGCTCTGCTAACCTGAGCCCTGCATATTTGTGATGAAGGAGGCTCTGCTGTATCCCTGGGTAGCCTCTTCCAATGTCTTGAGCTCTTTGTCTTGAGCCCAGCTGCTGTCACGTTCCAGAACATGGTTTCTTTCCATCAAGCACACGGTTTCTGCTCACTCTTCTTGACAGCTTTCTGTCTTCATTCTTGAACTGTAGATTCTCAGCTCCTTGGTGTGGTCCCCTGCTTTTGGGACCTGCTCCACTGGGAGTGGGCTCTGCTGCTCTCTGGGAAGGGTTGATTTCCTAGAAACCTCTGGCTCTGACACTTCATGATTGGAAGAGTAGGGGTTTTTTCTGCACTTTTGCGTGGCAAGTACTGTGGAAATGGTTCCCTTCAATCCAGGTGCAGAGTCTTTTCAATCTTTGTTTTTCTGCATGGAGTGGAAATTGTGCAGCATTAATGTGTGTGTCTCGTATTTTAATATATCCCATTATGTGTTTTTTAATGTTCTGTCCATAATAAAAAGCTTAGTAGAGTTGTTTGGTTTTTTTTAATAGAATGCTGAGATAATTAGCTTTCTGGGTTGGGATGTTTTTTGGTTGTTTGGTTGGGGTTTTTTTGACGTTAGGCATTTCCTTAGTTCTTTGACCATGCATTTCCCTCTTTTCTTTGCTTTTACAATTTTGAAATAAGGTGTTAAATGTTGTCTGAGCATTTGCCTGAGCATGATAAGGTAGAAACCCATTAAACAGATGCTTAAAAGATTGGTCTGGTTGCTTGTAAACAGCATAGTAGTGAATTTTGCATTTGCATGTCAGGTTCAATGAATGTCTATAGTTTGCTAATGTAACAATTTCATGCACTTTTTAAATATCTTTGCATTTAATGGCGCACATTAAGGTAATATTTTGGAGTTGTTTAGTTTCTGGTTTTATATAGTTAAGCATCAGCTTATGCTTTTAACATGTAATGTGCTGAAGTGTGGTGGTTTTTTTTGGAAGCGATGACAAATGTGTCCCTGGTGTTAAGTTCATAATTGGAGCTATTCAACATCAGTGTTGCACAAAAGGCTATCTCTTTGTTCTTCCTTCATGAGCACAGGTAGCAGGGATTCTTGAAATGTCTTATCTTGTCTAGACATCAAGTCTGTAACACTGTGTTAATTAGTCCATTATTATGTGTCCACTTTTCTTACATGTTACATATTCAAGTTGGAGTGACATGTACTACCTCTGAAAATCTATTCTTTTCTGAAGACAAATTTTACCAAATGATAATTTTACCAAGTACCCTCCTTTATCCTGTCAAAAAAATCAAACCTCTGAGTTTCTGTCTCAGTTTGGCTAATACCACAGATTTCTGGCATGTAAGGAATTAATTAAGTACAGGAAATAATACATTTCATAAACGCTTTCTTATTCTTAATGGAATCACTGGCTGACTGTATGCTTTCAGTTCACCAATGTTTTTAAATGTTCAGCAGAACGATATTTTTTAATGTTTAAACATTTAGTTTAATTTGTTCTTTAGCTGACATCCTAAATTAATATTGCTTGTTAAGAGTCCTCAATAGTATTAATGAGCTGTTACCCTAATGGGACTGCTTTGTTGCTGGAAGAGGCTGAAAATCAGATCTTTCTAAAGCTTGTGTTTGAAACTTCATAGCTATGGTACATAGAAAGAGGGAAAAATGGGGTGTGGCTAGGTCCAAGCTGCCCAAATTCTCTTTCCAGATCTGCTAACTCCTTTTCGTTTTTAGGTAAATTACTGACATCTCTGACCTAGAAGTAACAATTAAGTAAGAATAACAGGTCTTAGCAGTTACAAGGTGTCTGTGTAGTTTGAGAAGAACTGTTTCTTGTTCCCCTTCTTTGTCATAGTTCTTGTTCTAGTAGGATCTATATAACAATAGCTGAATTGTCTTTGTGTGTACTTAACACTTGTTAATGGGACTCTGTTCGCTAGAGATGCTGCTCTTGAGAGAAGACTGACTTCTCACAGAGTGATATTTTACACTGAAAGGACTTTGTTAAAATTTTTGGTT